CTTGTTTTTTGTATTTATTCTTTATTTATTGTTGTAAAATTAACTAAAATCTAAAAATACAGATCTTTTTAAGTTATTTAAGACTAGATTAGGTAAAATAAGTAATAATAATAATAATAATTAAAATGGTTCATGAGGCACACACATGAGCAGCTCGTGAGTAATATCATTCGATAGCGTAACATGAGCTGCACATTCCCCGAGTGATTTACAACTTATAAATTGTGGGAGGTAGTTAGACATGGTTCAAAGGGCAATAAAACAATGAAATTTTTATTATAAGTAGATGTGTAATATCATGAACTTATTTATTTCGATTTTTTTGGTGGTTACGAGGTCGGTCGAGTTGACCAATCCCGTTTTGAGATAGAGAAAATAACAGATAAACTATAAAGTTTTACTCTGAAAAAAAACGTTTGAATTGCATTTAGGAGGTTTTAGGGATTACACAAAGGAAATTTGAGATTTTGGAGATGAGGAAAAGTATTTTTAATTTCAACATGAAAATTACTTTGCACACAGATTATTCAAAACAAATACTCAGTATATTCAAGGACAAATCTTTATTTTATTTTGTTAAAAAATACTTCACTAAGAAGTTTGAGTTTTTGTATGTGAAAGAATTGTAATATTAACTGTAAGACTGACAAATTTCGTGAAGATATACCCACTATATTGACAGTAAGGTATTAAATCTATAACAACTTTAAACGAGTACAAAAAAGGTCACATGGTCGGTCAAATTGACCAAGCCTGTATTGAAAGTGTTAACCAAGCTATGAACAGTAATTAGAAGACCTAATATTTACATGTTTTAATGTAAATCCATGCCAAATTTGGAGTATGCTTTCAGGGAATCTCTTTTAACCCAGGTTTTTGCAAAATACCTGGGTTCCCTAAGGGGTGGGTAAAGAGTTTTACTTTTGGGAAAAGTTATTTGGTACCATTTAGAAGTTGGTGAGTCCAGGAGTTTAGGAGAAGGGTTTTTTGGGAAATTCCTGGGTTCCCCAGTGGGGTGGGGTGAAAATTTTTACCTTTGCTAAAACCTCAGGACTGAGACAGTTTGTTTGGTACCCGTTAGAAGTAGGTGTGACCTGTGGTTTAGAGGAGTTATGTGACAAACACACCAAAATTAAATCTTATTATATAGATGACCCAGAACAATAGGGGAAAAGGAACCTAGACTTTTTCTATAATTATAATGTTCTATAATTATACCTACATACTCTTGTATGCATTGAAATGTTGAACACCTTTATGTGAACTTAGGTTAAATAAGGGGACATGGGAAACATTTAGTATTCCTGGTATACAAAACACTAAGCATTTGATTTGACAGTCTACAAATAGTTGCTAGATATCTTGCAGCCTTATTACATTTATATTAACTAAAGATCAGTTAAAAGTCAACCAGGAGAAAGATTTTGAAATAAACTGTAGCTAAATACTGTTCCAAATATAACGTTTTGAATTTAATCAGTTAAATGTCTTTCAGTTTCTTATATAATATAAATGAACACAGAACACATTTGGTCTAATAATTAATGTCAACAGAAATGTAACAATGAAACATTAATGTAATAATTTTAAATACACTTAAATATTCCTAACGCAACTCATCACACAACTCAAATAATTCATCAAGTTTACACGCACTAAAAGATATTGACTCTGTCTCAGCTGGTGTATAGATTGATTCTCACATTTTGGATATTTTTGGTAAAATGTATTTGCCAGTGGAACATATAATACGAGATACTTTCATTTAAATCTTTATTTTTGTATTATGGATGGTAAAAAAGCATATCAATTTATGAGTAGAGTGTAAGATAAATAATTTTATAACATATTCGGAGTGTGTATGAAGTAAAGTTGCCTTTTTTATCAAGAGTTTCATTATTTTTTCCATGACTATTTTTACTTCGGAGTATGTATGAAGTAAAGTTGCTTTTTTTATCAAGAGTTTCATTATTTTTTTTTCCATGACTATTTTTACTTCTGATATTGTCTCTCATTTACCAGCATCACAGAAAAAAGCTTCAGGGGAGACGGCTAGATTATGACTGCAAAAAGAGAAGACAAGCAAAAGGTAAACTTGGTCAAGAGAGAGTTTAATGATACAAGAATTTTCACTTGTATGCTGAATATATATATATTTATTTATTTCATTCTGAAGTGGTTCTGTTTTTGAGCACATCGTATGATGGTAATATTTGTAGATCAACATGTTATACAAATGTGATTTGAATTTTCTTCTCTCCAGACATACTTGTATGATTGTAATGTTTATTGAATAAGAGTGCTACCATACAAGGAATGTTTCTTCATTCATTACTAAGTATAATTCCATAATGCAGTTCTGGTATATTATTGATTAAAAAATCATTTAGGAGGATTTATTTACAAAGTCACTATGTGTTTGTGTGTGTATATGTTTCATAATATAACATTTAAATCAAAATTTTAAAAGCTGAGTTAATCAATATTTCTTTAAAAGTTATTGTTTGATTAAATTAATACTGGCATTGTTATTCATACAGGTTATAATGAATTGTATCATCTGAAAATAGAACTTTTATAAAACATTCCTATCTACTCTTAAAAACAAATTTAAATTAGAAACTGCAGAAGTGAATAAGTAAAACTTTTATTTCTATTTTAACACTGCAAGATTAATAGTTAAGTTTGTTATGTGTTTATAATGTAAAACAACCTTTGCAGAAAAATGTACAAATAGTATAAAATTTTGTTGGTGTATTGAAAAAAAAACTTATCCTTATTCTACAATAATGGTGAGTGACATTATTATCATTATTATTATTATTATTGTCTGAAAATTTTGTTATTTACTGCATGTATTAATGCTCTTTTAATTTGGATACTAAGATGATTTTTAATTACAGTAATTTTTGGTAGAACGAACCTTTGTGAAGTATTCTACAAAAGTACATTATTCAGTGACTTGGTTGATTTTAATAAAAAAAATTATCAATTTATTTATCTGATTTCTCCATGTTGTTGATACAAGTGCATCCGTAGCTAAAACTTGACTGAGTTAAGTAATTGATCCATTATTTAACTAATTAACCTCTCCATATTATTTGTGTATCCCCAATTAGAATGTGGCTGAGTTGAGTAACTGATCCATTTTGTAACTAACTTGTTCACATTTTTGGTGCATGTTGTCTTTAATTAAAATTTGGCTGAACTAAGTAACTGATCCTTTAACTAATTGTGCTTGTTACATTGTTGATGCATGCTATTCTTAATTAGAATTTAACTGAGCTAAGTAACTGATCCTTTATCTAGCTGACTGACCTTTCCACATAATTGATGCAATATATTTGAAATTGGACTTTGCTTAGTAATTGGTCCTTTGCCAAAATAATTAACTTTGCCAGTGATGCAATGCAAGCTTAACTAGGATTTGGCTAAGCCAAGTAATTGTTTTTTACCATTTTTTTTCCTGAAACTCTAATCATCATTAAAGTGCATGCTTTTATTTTTAATAGCCTTCCATGTTTTTATTCATAACTACCATTCACTAGTTATCATCTTTAAGTTAAATTTAGCTGACATTTAATTTAATCATACCTTTACTATGAGACTGTTATTGTGTTGTATTTTACCTTGAGTATTTATCAATATAACTGACTTTGACCCAACTGTCTGAATTTGTTTGTACTCTCCTTTTCAGCCTTTATGCATTTGCTAATGTATTTACTTCTTGCTGTACTGTTTATTGTGTAACTTTATATATTATCTATATTTAATTTTAATTGAATAATTTGTTTACCTTGAAAATATTTGTTTAATTTATTGTGACCATGACCTTTTTATACCTATAGTTAAGTAATGTTATTTTTCTTAACTTTAAGTGAATTCCTTGACTTTAAAATTAATCATATGTAACCTGTTAGCTAAATATGAACAAAATCTTCAAACTGCTATTAAACTTTAACACAGTTGCCACTGTTTTTTAATGTTTATATCATCTAATATAACTGTTGTTGACATTTTACTTAACTGACCTACATTAAACTAGATTAATAGAGCTATATTTCAACTTGCTGACAAATATGTGTATTAATCAGAACACATGCACATGCACACCCACAAAAGACTGTTTGAACTGACTCTTTCAATTAACTTTTTTAGTGGTGTCCATGAGAAACATGTATAGCCACACGATAAAATGTTTAGTAAATATTGTCCTTGTGTTTCTTTTTTTTTTTTCTTTGTACGGTCATCTCTACCAACTGGAGGGTCTATGCCAAAAGCTAAACAAGGTTGGTTTTAAAAATTGCTTGAATTTTATTCAGTGTTTACATGTTTCTGAAGTGCTACATGATACAAAAAAATCCTAATTATAAGAAACTTGCTAGATTTCAGTTATAAAATCTTTATGTTCATTGTTGTTATTCATACTGACACGTCACACAGACCACTACTCTTTAATCTGATAACAATTAACTAATCTTTTAATTAAAGCTCTACTCACAAGATTTGTTGTATGTGCTTGCTTATACATAAACATAACAGAATTAAACTTTAAATATACAAAGTATCTTAAAAAGTCAATTCATTTTGATGTAATTTCCTTCATTCAAAGGTTTCAAGTGGTGCTAAACGTATTAAAATGATCAAAAGAACAAGTTTTTGTCTTAGATCAGTGGTGAAAGGTTTCAGGTCATGAAAAGTTCTTTGTAAAAAATATTAAGGACTGGCCAGGCTGAGTCTGGATTAACTTACTTTTGGAAATATGTTTTGAATTACTAAACATAGATTAAAAGATAAACATTATGATAAAAGTTACAGACAATCTAGAATACTTCATGCACACTTGCTTTTCTAAAACTTTGTTTGGCAGTTTCTTCCTAAATAACATAGCTGCATTAATATCAGGTAATACAGCATTTGCAATATGCTTTTCCTGACGTATTACAATGATAAGCTAGTGATGATGGGTAGTTATTTTACTGTATTACTTTAAGGGTATACCTTGGGTCTGTGCAGCAGAAAAGCTTTTGATAAAGCTAAAAATATTACTCCCAAGCTATCACTTAATTCATCACTTGTTATTGAGTTATACAAGTTTGGGAAACTTTCACCACTTGTCAGTAACCCTGGACAAGGACAAATCAAAAGAATAAGACTAGGCTTCATATGGTAATGGAGTGTGTATTATATATATGGTTTTTTATTTAAAGTTGTCTAACTTTTCAGCACAGTGAACCTATAAATATTTAGGTGGTCCTTATTATTGAAGTTTTGATTTACCCCTCACCCCCTCATTTTGTTCCAATACAAAAAATATATAACTCAAACTACATTTTATCCATATTGAATAACATTTAGGGGTTGATCAATATAGTTGAAATTTTAACTTGTAGCTTGCATTATATTTGCATATTCCGAATATTTACAGTGTTTTGGGGTATTCTAAATAATTCTGGAATGTTCTATCATGTTATTGTGGAATATTCTAGCATATTCTGTAAAATATCCAGAGTATTTCACGTTATTCAGAATGTTGAAGATCATTCCAAAGATAAATAATCTGTGCTGTTGCTTTTTACTTCTGGAGTATTCTGTATCATGTCTTATAATTTGTCCTGGTATATATTTTTAAAGTCTTTTCTCTGGTCCAAATATTGAAGTTTTCAGTCAATTCCAGCAGTCTCGGGAATACATGAACCAGTCCAGTTATGAAACTGCAACTGACTGTGATGGAGTAACAGAAGCCATAGAGGAAGTTAAGGACAGTATTATTGAGTTTACTACAAGAAAACTAGGTCAGCCAACCTAGAGATGATTACCGAGAGCTACTTCAATTAGCCATAACTTTTCTTGGTGACATCCCTTCGCATGGAGTGTAATTTATAACATCTGCAGTTCATCATGCATGATGGATGACCGAGTTGTTATATGTCTTCAAGATCTGGATGTTTGTGGGACAGTTTAATTTCACTGGCCATGAGGAAAGAGGACTCTGTGGCTTTTGCATCTTTGTTGTTCGAATCTATCTTTGGGCATGGTTCATTGTTCCTGATGTTATTTCTCCTCCTAGCAATAACCTAAATTTCCTATAATATCTTAAGTATAAGAAGATGAATTCTGCTGCTTCAAAATCTGCCTGTTCAACATTTGCTGGATATCTATGGTATCTCAGTTAGGAACTCATTGGTTTGGCATTCGTTGTTTCAACTGTATCCACAGAGACAAAACAAGCACTGATAAAAGCATATTAAATGTGAAGGAAGACATATCCAGCTGAATATCAGGTAGTCTGAGGACATTTCAATTGAAGCTTTCGTCACAAAGAACAGAACAAATTCCTTCAGGTGCCTTGAAATTCCATCTGAATTTTTGGACAATGACCCCAAGTCATGGAAGTTCAGAGAAGGCTACAGGGAGGCACTACAGACAGTTAACACTTGAATGTGGTAAATGACAATGCTGAAATGGGTGTATCCCTCATCAAAGAGTATAATGCAACTATAACAAAGAAACAATATAAACAGTTCCTTCTTCAAGTTGTGCAGGATCATAGAAGACAGCAAAAAGGAAACAATGCAAAAGTAACTAACCACATCAAAAATTATACAATTTTGTAATTATACTATTGTAAATGCAACAAAATAATAATATACTTTAAATAAATAATTTATAATACATAACAAATGAAGTTATATCACATAATACATACAATATAAGGCCAACTGCAGTCTAGAACTTCAGCCTAATAAACCAGTGTCTAAATATGGTGGATAATGGATGGAATTTGACATCCAATGTTTTTTATACATTATAACACAGTTAGAGCATGAGAGATTTACAATTTTAACTTAAAATTTTATTTGCGAATAAGGACAATCCCAATATATTTATATAAGATTTGAAGAATTTGAAACATTGATATACTTTTTTTTTATTCTTGTGAATTAATCAGCAGACAAGCTGTAAAATACAAAAAAAATAAATATGGAGCCCATTCTATTATTCCATTCATCATTTGCCTTTGAATTATACCTGTTTTTGAAAAATTTCACCCCTTGTTACTAAACTTAACAACAGGGGAAATCCAAAGCAAAAGACTATGCTTTATGGAGTGTGTATCATGTGTATGATATTTTGGGTTGTCTTTTACTTGCCATAAGAATAAATTATTAGCAACAATGTTACAAATCCTTCAATACAGTTCTTTTGTTTTCCCTGACTATATATGTGTATGATAAACATGTCATCACACCACTATTAAAATGTTTTTTTCATACATTAAAAAAAAGTAAAAATATATCTGATGGATTTTTAGGAACAGCTGTCACAGAGGAAGAAATTAGGCTAGCAGAAGATAAGTTTGAAGAATCATTTAACCTAGCCTCCATGGGTATGCATAACCTTTTGGAAAATGATGTAAGATAATTTTTATTATAAAATTGTATTTCATTGTGACTTTTTTCTTCATTGAATACTTTCACAGTTTTTCATTTTTGTTATACTTCTTTATATTTGTTAATGCTAATTAACTTCTTTACTTTATGAACAGAAATGGAACAGACATTAACCATCTATTGCACATTATAACGTACAGGTAACAAATCTAGTAACAGTCTAAATAAACCATTGAATTATTATTATTGGTTCCTCAACTGAACAATGCTATTTCTAGGTAACACACTCATTTATAACTTGCCAAAATGTACTTCACAAAACCATTTTTCTATGCAATATAGACCTATTTAAATAAGAAATCCGAGAAAGCATTTTTCCCATCATATTTTCATAACGTGCAAAAGAAGGTTAAACATAATTTATTATAGTCTCAGATTTGATCAGTAACTTGGTTTTTAGCTTCATAAGTGTGTATATTTGTTTAAAAATGTAGTTTTAAATGAAATGGATAAAACTGGCTTTAGGGTTTTAGCACTTTTGTATAATTTTTTTTTTATTCCTCTTGGTCTCAAATAATTATTGTATAAATGCATTTTTGTATTTGAATACATTTCAGAGATATATCAAGTTATAGAAAATCTGTTTAATGTCATACTGGTTAAGTTCATCATTTTTTACTTTTCCAGTTAAATATACCTACTACACTCATTAATAATGACCAATTTTTAATGACTAGATAGTGTAATCCTTAAATGTCTAAGCTATAGGCTGTTGCACAGTTACATGTATTGTATGTGTGTTTAGGTGGAACAGATTTCCCAGTTGGCATCCTTGGCAGAGTCCTTATACGAGTATCATTGTCAGTGTGCTGAAATTATGAGAGAATTAAATGAACGGCTTATTGAACAGTAAGTATATGGGTGTCTAAGCTATAAAAACGTGCATGTTTTAAAAAATACATGTTTTGCATTGTAATACACATGTATTCATTACATAAGAGTGAGAGTGACAAAAGTTGTTCTCCTACGGACTACCATTTAACTCTTTCAGCACGGGCTCGATCTCTGGGATCGACCTCACAACCATTTTGTGCTTGTTATAGTTTTCATCGTATAACTTATAAATTAATAAGTGAATGTTAATGAAATTTGGCAAATTATCAGTAATCATTACAATGCTTTCATACGCAAAATATAATTTTTTT